AAAATTAAAAAGGGGAAAAAAAAAAAAAAAAAAAAAAAGCACAAGCTTGTCATGTTCCACTGCTTACCTTTCGGGCACTCTGGAACCCATGTTGTGCGGCAAGTTGGTGCGCCTCGTCCTGCGCGTTCTCGTGCAACTGGACCAGGAGATGGTCCGTGGAGACTCCCGCTGCAGCCTGCGTCGTGAACAGCAGCGCGGTCAGTAACGCTAGAAATCCCGCGGTTGTCCCATGTCGAGGAGGTCCACGCATCGTGTCTGGCTGGTGTCAATCCGCCTGTCTTGTCTCTGCCCGTCGGAGTGAAATCAGTGAGCGGGATGCTCCTTACCGATGATGATGGAGGGAGGGAGGGAGGAGGGCCGAATTAAAAGCTTTGACGGAGCATCTCTTTCTTTCTCTTTCAGCTGATGATACCACTGGGATTTGTATTTCACTGAAGAGTAGTAGCTGGTGATATGTGGTTTTCACATCCTCGGCGGTCTCTCTCTCTCTCTCTCTCTCTCTCTCTGTGTCTCTCCTCCTCCTCTTCTTCTTCTTGTCCTCCTCCTCCTCCTCCTCGCCCCCCTCCTCTTTTCTGTAATTCATGTACCTTCCATGTTCGGCCACTTTCCTCGTGTGGTGTTGTACCAATGGGCTCCAGTGTCCGATGCTTTGTTTGTTTGTTTGTTTGTTTGTTTCTTCGTCCTCTCCTCCCGGCTGAGCTGCGGGACAGTTTTCAGCACCTTGGAGAGAGCCTCGCTCTCATCGCCATTAGATTAGTAGATTATGTTACCCCAGTGACGACGTTTCAGTCAGTCACTCACAAGACACTTGACATAGTGTGGGGTTTGGAAGTACTGTATCACAGAGAAGTGCAGTAACCGGAAACTTTCAGATGAATATCAACGTCCTCTGGCTTGGAATGGGAAAATAATAAAACAACAACAACAATAATTATAATAATAATAATAAAGGGAGATAGGAATGAAAAAACAAGTGTGGAAAAATGAATAAAAGATTGGGGGAAAAAAATATATATATATATGTAAAATTGTTGGGTCTTATCTAATAATAAACGTTTTGTTTGTCAATTTCCCTTGTCTTTAGACTGGAATTACAGACTGAATTTTTAAAAAAACCAACCTTTTCTAAATTTTTTTCCACAAAGTCTTTTAAAGATTGAATTTTCCAAAATGCAAAAAGGAGAATCCAGTGATTGATTGGGTCTTCATTAATTACTAATACTACTAATAATATATAGCAGTGTTTTCCAAACTTTTTTTTTCCTGGGGACCCATATTTTAAAAGTCACAAACGTTCGCGACCCGAGTCAACAGACATTATTCGTAAACTCCTGGGAAACATGATGCGAGACGACCCAAAAAAATTAAAAAAAATTTCTTGCGACCCACCTGAGGGTCGCGACCCAGTCTTTGGGAAACAATGATGCTGTAGCAATAATAGCAATAACAGTAAACATAACAACAATAATAATACGAAGAACACTGTAAGAATACTCTAACTGCTCCCTCAGCTAATACTGCTAGTGCTACTATTACTATTGGTAGTACTATATGGAGAGAGAGAGAGAGAGAGCTTCACATATAGGATCGATTTCATTGGCACATTTAGTAATAAGAAGTTCTGTTGACGGTGACTGGTAACCAGAGAGCCCGCATGTCGATGCATGTTACACAGTTCTGACAGGCTCTGACATCTCTGTGGTTCTAACGACCAGCCTGACTGAGTCTCTGCGTAGTGAAATGCATGAAGAGCCCCACTGGACCGTAATTGGCCATTTGAATGTGAATGTGAACTGCGGGCTGTAGCTGTGTAAAAGAACGTACCCCTACAAAGGCTGCTCATTAAAAGATTACAGCTCGGCTGGGGTTTTTTTTTTTTTTTTTTCTTTTTTCGTACCATGTGGCTAGCAACGTGGAATAGATACGGAGTGTACCGTAGGTGGACGTGTGACAAAGGAAAGATGAGCGAGGACCGATACCATTGGGTTACCGAGATAGTGTAGATAAGGGAGCTTCGTTTTATGTATCATCTGCATAAAGAATGACTCGAAAAATGCGTCTTGGTCGCGTAACTCGTCCCTAAAAAACAAGTTCGAGATGCACAAAAATTAGTTTAAAAAAAAAAACGGTAATTACGGTAATTGAATTGTACCTCACCAGCTGTTGATGATGGTTTCCACCCGCAGTCGTTCCATCCCGTTGCACCTGTCATTCAGGAAAACAAGTTTACGTTTGGACCAGGGTATCATGAAAAGACAACCCACAACTACAGTGCAGTCCACCAACGTTCTTGTCCATGAGTTCCTCTCCAATCATGGACTTGCCCCGTCATGCTAACAGAGGTCTGTTCGTTTTAGAGACTTCCTTTCTGCGCGGGTGCGTCTTTCGCTCCGTCCTTATGCAGATGATGCTGTCATTTCTGCACATGGTCTAAAACGTTCTAATTTCCTGTGCGCAGTTTTTCTTTTTTTTTTCTTTTCTTTTCTTTTTTTTAATGGGTATTAAGGGAGCGTAACAGCGCGTGAATCATGTATTATTGAATCCTGGAAAATAATGAAGGGGGATTTTCTATAAGTGGATCCACTTTACTAATCACCATTTGCCCACTCCCTGCAGACCTCTTCCCACACTACTGCCATCCTGCAGGCCAGAGATTATTTATTTAGCCTCCCTCTCTCTCTCTCACTCTCTCTCTCCCTCTTTCTGTCTCTTTCTCACAACACAGTTCTCACTCTGGCGGTTTAGTAAACACAGAGCGTCTTCTGCTGTAGACTACATGGATCATGACTGTATAGCTCATGTCCTGCTGACTTTGTCCACCTATCAGGCAGTGGTGACACTAGTCCTGGTGCTACCTACTACTTAGCCTCTGTCTCCAGTCCACTGGTTGTCATCCTGAGGATTCCATCATTTTATATATTTATTTCACTCGTGCATGCTGGGATATATTTCACAGTCTGTCTGTCTGGTCTGTCCACCGCAGTGATTCGTAAACACATCAGTGTACCATGACAGATCCTCAGGTGCACCGTACCGCATGTCTACCATGACAGATCCTCAGGTGCACCGTGGACTATTCCATCTGTGTTATTTCGTCTGAAAACCGTTACTAATTCACTGCTAACGATTTAAAGAAGTTTACGTTATTTACAGACCCCAGGTTTCACACCGAGTAAGGAAAGGCTAGAAGATCATTTTAAGACCATTCCCACGATTGGACTGAAGCCCTCGGGTCAAAATCAATACGTAGATCGATGGGGAAGAGATTCTCATCTCATTATTATTATTATTATTATTATTTTAGCGATCAGATTTACTGGCTTCTGCAAAAACACAGACAGTAATATAAAGAGAGCCACGTAATGCACTTCAGTTCAGTTCAGTTCAGTTCTACTGCAAAAGCTGTTTTTGTAGGACGTACTTTGATTGGTCCTCAGGACGAAAAAGCTGCACACGCAGTAGCAGTCAAGCCCATTTAGTATTCGTTAATATACTCTTTATTGGAGTATTTCCTGATTCCTGGCAGATATTCGAGCACGAACGGAGACAAAGGACGCTCGTCAACCAATCCTGACCGAGCTAACATCTGCTAACGTCCACACGCCCACAACTGGGACTGTTAACAAGCTTTCAGTAACCACATTATTGATCCACTGCATTAGGTTCTGGATTGGGTTTCAATGTGACGACGTACGTGGTGTTTTTGGGACTAAGACTGAGACAAACGTCAGGGGTTTGATTCCCCCTTTTTTTCCCCCCCCTTTGTGGGATGTTTAAAAACGATTTTGGCTCGAGCGGAGATTCTTGATCAATAGTGAATCTATACGAGTCGTCATTAAAAGACATTTTCCCTCCCCGACAGCCACAGGGTAAAACCTAAGACCTGGCTTGTATCTGGTCAGTCCAGTGGTTCAGCGGTTCTCAATTTAATTCCGGTCATGCCCCCCCCCCCTTTTGGGGACAGAACTGTTTTTACACCCCCTCCGAACCACACTCTCTCAAATTGAAATACTATTGAGAACCTGATGACATGTATATTTTTTTATCTGTACAAACCACTGTATGAGCTGCTGCCACCTAGTGGCTGGAGGCTTGTTATTAGCATTACAGTGGTACACTTATGTTTTTTAGGGACAATTTTAAAGATAATAAAAAAAAAGAATAATTAAACGTTAGACCAAATGTCAGTTGGCTGAACTGACCGTTGTGTTTTCACATTTTAACTGCAGTATTTTGACAGATTTCAGACCCGTCTTGTACTCTCACACTCCTTCCTTTGCTAGTTCAGCCGTGTACTAAGAACATTTCTGAATATCGTGTTCACGTTGCAGTCTTTCACTTGTTTGGTTAGTGCTCCAATATATCCTGGAGGCGATATTCGTCGTCTCCTCCCCTGTCCCCATTTGTCATGCTTGAATCGTCCACTCAAGTCTAGGCCTGAAAGGCCATGGACATTGCAGCTCCGCAACAACGGACCCTGAATGACACTCGCGCGTGGCTCTTGTCTGGAGGACGTGGGAGGACAGTGACCAATCCTCCTGCCATGTAGTAGTCACTGTGGCTGAGGTTTTTTACAAAGTGCAGGTCAGGCTGTCGTGGTCAGGCTGTGACGTCAAACTAAAAGCCCCACAAAATTCTCATTTGCATTATTTTCCATCAACATTTCCGCGATGGTACGAGGGGCTAAGATTTAATTGAAGAACACTTCTGCTGACAAATGAACAAGAAAAAAAGGGCAAATAAAAACAGGATTTTTTTTAAGGCTACATTTCCAAAAAAAAAAAAAATTATATTCTTCCGTCTTGAGTTAGCTACTCATCTAAAAGTACTCTTTAGACACAAGGAAGACGCAATATAAAATAACAGGGGAAACAGACCTGTAGTCTCCTCCTGGACCAGACAGGAACAGAAACAGAGTGAGGGAGAGAGGTATATTTACCCAGGTCACCAGGTGAGACGAGTGACACTGATTAACAGAGACGCAGTGGACACAGGTGAGGCTGATGACACTGATTACCCCAGGAGAGACAGACAGACCGACCTGAGCCTTCATCTCTACACTAGCTCTACTACTTTGGACCTACTTTTAGGTTACGTTTCTAGGAAAAGCTAATGCGATGCTAAATGCTAACACAAACTGTAAAGGATTTATTCACTTCTCTGTGTTGAATTTCCACCCCTGGGGTAAATCCTTCATTTAGTACTAGTAATATATCAGGTTGGACAGTTGTTAAATAAGTGGGTTAATAATTAATTAGGCTTTAACTAGCCATTAATATCGGCTGACGGATATTATCGAACCGTGATAAAACCTCTGTTTCCTGGGGCAGAAAATAATAGAGAAACACTGCTTTAACCCATGACCTTAGCAGGCGGCACCTAACTCCCTTAACCACGAGGCTACCACTATCCCGCTATATCGGTATCGGTTGATATCGGAATCGGAAATTAAGTGTTTGGGCAACCTCTACATATCGACAAAATGATATTATCGGACATCGCTAGCTTTAACCAATCCCAGTGTTCATGACACAGTTTACCAGTCCATCATATTCTGTCACCCCCTTCCCACACCCCGCGAGTTGAAATACTATTGAGAACCTGTATATTTGTATCTGTACAAACCACTATATGAGATACTGCCCCCTAGTGGTTGGAGGCTTGTTATCATTCAAGAATTACAGCAGTGGTACATTTATGTCCAGTGTGTCATATTCCATTGAAAACTCCTCACACTCCCTACCTCCCCTCCCAGCGCCTCAAGGCGCCCCCCCATGGGGGCCCGCCCCACTATTTGAGAAGTACTGATTCAACCTTATCATGCATGTTTGTGCAGTGTAGAATAGTTCCCTTACCTGTGACAGAGTAATTAAAGCTACAAGGCAAAACCATTGCTATCTGTA